CCTTGGGATTTTGCTGGCTGAGACCCCTGCGCTGCAGACCTGTGACCCTGCTAAATGGGGCGTCGGGGGGCTTGGGGCCACAGTGCTGGACACGGTTTGGGGAGGGCTCAATGATGATGCTGGTGGTTGTTTATCCCCCAAGTCCGGAAACGCTCCGCTGGGAAGGAAAGGGAGGGGAGAGACGGGGCAATTCCCAGAAAGGGAGCGGGAGGGATGCTGCCGGCTGGGCCCAGCCCCGAGACATCCCCGTACGTGTGGTCCCAGCGGTCCTTGACCCCCAGCATTGCCCCTTCCTCCACCTCCTCCAGCTCCCCGGTGCCTCCGCAGTGACCGGGAAGGCTCAGGGAGCTGCAGGTGGCCTGGGACAGGACAGGGCTGGACGGTGACAGGTCAGTGCTGCCGCTCTTGGCTTGGGGTTTGGGTGCTGCTGCCCGGCGCCCGTGGGTGCCGTCGGCCTGTCCTCCCAACCTTCGTGTGGATGGAGCGGGGAGGGGACGTGTGTAAGGAAACAGGTCCTTTGCCCTAGAAATGTGGCTTTTCCTGGGGATTTCCTGGCTGATGCAAGACGGGGCATAAGAAAAACGGTGGCTTTGAGCCTAAGTTGCTGCTGGAAGGAGGTTGTCCCCATGTGAGGAGGGGGACCTTGCTTTAAAATCGAGTTTGGCCCCTTGCTGGGTCTCTCTGGGTCCATCAAGATGTCAGCTCTTGGGTAGGATGAGGAAGTCGGGTGGAGGTGGAGAGTTGCTGGTGGTCTCCCATGGCAGGGAGAAGGTGCGGGGCTCCGGGGAGCAGCCAGAGCGGACACGCAGGCATCGCCTGCCTCAGCACCCCAGCGCAGGGCTACCGGGAGCCTCAGGGCCACATCCAGCACCCGTCCTGACCGCACCGGCACCCAGCGAGGAGCTGGTGGCACCATCATGTCCCAGGCAGAAGGTACGGCTGAACCCTCTGGCTGTCCCGGGGGAGGCGCAGGGTTTGCACGGGGGTCCCAGTGCTGGTGTGCCCCCCCCCGCCCCCACATCAGCACCAGTCCCTATCCCATCCTGTTTAATGGCCCTGTTTTGCTTGGATTTTTGATCCTAAAAGTACCTTTTGCCCCAAACCCTGATTTGCAGGGTGCTGGGCTGCTCCAGGAGCTCCTGTAGCAGCAGCCCCTGTTCCCATGTCCCTGCTCCGGTCCCATCTGCACCGTGCGGGGAGGGTGGTCGGACCTGGATGGAGTTGGGGGGGCACAGAAATAAGCACTGGAGGGGAAGCGCAGGCAGCTGGTCCCCAAAGCATGAGGGATCCGTGCATGGACCACCGGGCTCCAACCCTCCCAGGAGGCGAGGAGACCTTTGAATACTGTGATGTGGTCGTCAACAGCCAGGAGAAGGTTTCGGATGTGTACACGCAGCTGGAGAAACTGGGAGAGTAAGTGGGGGGCCCCATGTCCCTGCTGCTTGGAGATGCCCACGGCTGTCCATGCGCAGCCACGGGCGGGACACAGGGTGGTGCTGATGGCTCCTCCATCCCTCCTCCTTGTTCTGTCCCAGGGGAAAATTTGGGACGGTGTACCGGCTGCAGGAAAAAGCCACCGGCAAAATCCGGGCTGGGAAATATTTCCAGACGCGGACAGCTAAAGAGAAGCAGGGGGCTCAGGCTGGGGGGGAGCTCATGA